CAGAACAAGAAAAACAACCAGCTTTGAATCCTCCCCCCCCCCCCCCCTCCCCCCCAAGCAGGCAGATTTCGAACCCTTCACTCAAAACAGCAACATCGCCCCGGGCCTTTTTGACCAGCGCTCTTCTGATGCCACAGAGATGCCCAGGACCGTCTAAAGAAGGCTCCTAGGGAGAAAGACTTATGAGTCCCACCAAGAGGTTTGTGGAGAAGCCATGCCATGGCCCCGGGGAGCCCCGGGCAGGGGAGACCCACAGCAGGCGAGACCCACATTAGGACCCAGGCTGGGAAGGGGCAAGGGGCAGGGGAGAGGATGTACCTGCTCACAGGATGGTGCACTGCCTAGTCTCGGCAGCCTTGAGCGCCGCCTGGATGCGCGTGCGGCGGATCTCCCGCACCAGCTCGTGGAAGGCCTGCCCCACGCCCTGGCGGGTCTTGGCCGAGGTCTGCACGAAGGGCGCCTTGAAGCTCTTGGCCGCTTGTTCGCCCATGTCTGAGTCGATCAGCCAGTGGGCCTCGTCGATTTTGTTGGACACCACCACCAGGGGCACCTTGTCAGTGCCCTTGACCCGGCACAGCTGCTGGTAGAAGAGGCTCATATCCACGAAGGTCTTCATGAAGTCGACGGCGTAGACGCACAGGAAGCCGTCTCCCCAGGTCATGAAGTGCTCCCGGTGCTGGCGGTACTCGTCGCCTCCGGAAGTGTCCAGGATCTCCAGGTCGCAGGGCTCCCCGTCCACCACCGCCACGCCGTGGTACACCTCGGTGGTGGGGCTGGTGGGCTCGTACTCAGCCACGAAGCGGTTCTCGAGGAAGCGGGTGACCATCGCGGTCTTGCCCACGCCACAGCTGCCCATCACCACCACCTTGTACAGCATCTTGGCTCTGGCACCTGGGCGGGGGCGTGGAGGGTTAAGGGAAAAGGGAAACAAGCCACGACTGAGAGCCTACTGGGTGCCAGGCACTGTACGCTCTACAAACACCACGTCACTGCATCTACCACAGCCCGTTACCCCCACTTTACAGAGGAGGAAACTGAGGTAAATGCAAGTTAGGTGACTCGCCCTGGGTCACAATCTATTAAGTACCTGGGGCTGGATTTGAATGCAGGTCATTGAGCTCGACCCATTGGGCTACCTACCTGCCTCAGGAACACTAGTGTGCGTGGGGGGGGGAATCGTTGGATCCCAGCGGCCCTGCTAGGAGGGGGCCCCTAGCCAGGGCAGCTCATTCCACCGGAGAAAAGCTCTCCTGAGGAGGCTCCCATCCTCCCATCCCCCCTTCTCCACATCCAGCCCCAGGTGGTTTCTTTGTAACCTCTCCACCCCCACCCCCGCTGAACAACACTCATCCCTCCTCCCAAGAACAGACTAGAATCCTGACGAAGCTTCCCTGCTCCTCCCCCACCCCGCCCCCGCGCCCGCTTGCCGAACGCCTCCTCGGAGGCGCACGGGCTCCAGGTCCTTTCCACCCCCGGTGGCTGCTTCCCGACCTTCTACGGCTAATCAGCGCCTTCTTAAACCCTGGGACCCACACTTGACCCCAGGTTTTCCAAAGGGATTTTAAGAGGATGGTGGACCCAGAGCGTCCCTATTATCCCCTGCCTTAAGGCAGCCATGGGGCCACGGGCTGGGGTGGCCACCAGCCACTACCCGCTAGCTAGCCCTAACTACCCTAATTGCGCTAGCCCCTTAACCAACCCTAACCCTAACCCTTCTTTGTTCCCCTTCCCTGCTCTGCTCCTCCTGCCTCTACTTACCTTTTCTGAAATCGAGCTGGAGGAAAAGCCTATCCAGGGGCCCCGGGTCCGACGCGCAGAAGAAGCGCACAGATCCGCAACCCAGGAGATGCAGCAGAGAATGCGGAATCCTCCCACCCTCACCACGTGAAGCCCAGGGCGAGTGCCCGCCCCCCACAGACACCCTGGAACCTCCTGGGAAGCCCGCCCCCTCTCCACACTCAGCTCCAGGCACCGCCGGGGCCCTCCCCCTTGGGGATTTCGTAGACCCACCCCCAACCACAAGGGCTTCTTGAGGTCAAGCGGACCGCGACTGGGGCTTTGGGGAGCCCTTGCCCAACAATTTCAGGGGATTCTGGGAGTCCCACCCGCTAAGAGTAAATTAGAGTGTGTCCCCCGAGGTTAAGTGACCCAGCCATCAGGGACTAACCGAGCATGCACCGTTCTGCACCTGCAGTCTCCCGCCGCTCGATGCCCAGAGGCAGAAGTGGCAGGCGCCACTTTCCCAGCCCGTACCCCTACTCCCTCACGCCCCCCTCCTTCCTCCCGCCCCCCTCCTTTCTCCCGCCCTCATCTCACCACCTCTGGCGACCATCCCCCACTCTCTCACCCTCGATTCCACCCTCCCATGCAGAGGTGCCCCCTCCCCTTGCCCAGGCCTAGCCTTCTCTAGACCCCTCCCATCTTCTCTCCACGTTGCCGCATCATTCCTGTTTTCTCTCTCCCCGAGAACTGACTGCCTCCCTGCAGCCTGCGGACACGCCCAAAGCTCCTCAACCCTTAACAGATTCTCGTCAGATCCGACCATTCCCCCTAGCTATAAAAGTCTCCCCCTGCCCCATATCCAGTCAGCCTCTCCCGTTCGACCTGCCCCTCCCCATCCTCGCAGCCAGGAACTACCCTGTGGCCCCCATCTCCTTAGGGCTGCAGCAGTTTTCTTATTTATTGGTAGCACTGTGCATAGAGCTGAGTTCAAATCCTACCCCAGACACTAGCTGGCTGTGTGGCCTGAGGAGTTTGTGCTTCGCTTTCCTGGGCCCTACCTCAGTCTCTAATGTCATCTCCCTCTGCCTGCTGCCCCTGACCTGCTTCCTCCTGCGACCCCAAACTGTGTCCAGAATCATGGGGGGGGCACCTCCCCTGCACCTTATATGCCTAAGAACCTGAGTGAGGGCTCTGGGCCCTGGATTTTGTTAGGGTTGATTTCCCACCCTCCTTCTCTCTCTCGTGTGGCCCAGCAGCTGCCCCCAGCCTTCCTAGATTAGGTGATATTAGATTTCCAGGAGATTTTTACCCAGTTTCCTTTGTGGGAGCTTCAACTATAACATAAAATCTGCAAACTTTTGTAAGTGAACACTATCACTCTAAGCTAAGGTTGTCAAAATTTCTCAGGGCATTTTTTGTCATCATTTTCTACTTCCTCTTGTGGTAGTTTTGATAACAAAATGCTGTTTAAAAAAAGAAATATATTCATTTTTTTCAAGTGTTGTTAGGGGGAAAGGAAAGGAAGAGAAGCAGCGTGTATCAGTGCCCAGTTGTGTGGCAGGGTTCATGCCAGGCACCTCACCCATGGCATCTCACTTAGACTCTCTGTGAAAGCCCCCAAGTCGAGGTCCGAACCCTCAGCTCAGGGTCCCTGGCTCACAAACACCAAATAAACGGGATGAAGGCCACACCCTAAATCAGACAACCCCGTCTCCACTCCACTCTCACCCCCACCCCCGCGGCTTTGCCGGCAAAGGCTGCTGTGACTGAGAACCAGACCTCAGAGTGGGAAGGCGGGGACCTGCTTCGGCCGCTTTTGGAAACTGCTGATGGACAAGGAGCAGCTATCCTTTGAGAATCCTTGCTCTCCAGCTGCTTAGAAAGGAAGAATGCTCTTATTAGATTCTTTTAAAGAAAAACTGGGCTTGTTTACCTTTTCCTTATCTAATGCTTGCAGAGGATTGGAGGTGGAATAGGGGCAGTGAGGCCTCGAAGTGGCTAAAGCCCCAGGCCCGGAGGAAGACCTGACTTGAAATCCAGCCTGACACTTCCTAACTGTGTGACCCTGGGCAAGTCACTTCACCCTGTTTGCCTCAGTTTCCTCATCTGTAAAATGAGCTAGTGAAGGAAACAGCAAATGGCTCCAGTCGCTCTGCCAAGGAAAACCCAAATGGAGTCACACAGAGTCAGACACAACAGAAAGACTGAACAGTAGAAACAAACGAGTGGAACTGAAAATACAAATTTCCATCGTGACATAGTGCATCTTTTAAGAAGGAGGTGGAGAAATTTAAAGGGAAGAGGATAAGAGAAGGGGGGAGAGATAGAAGGGAGGGTAGATTAGGGGAAGGGGTACTCAGAATGCAAGCCATCTTCGGGTGGGGGGGGGGGGGGGGGGGGAGGTGGGGAGAAAATTTGGAACTCAAAATTTTGTGGAAGTGAATGTTGAAAACTAAAAATAAATAAAAGTGAAATAAAAAAAGGGGGGGTGGAGGGATACGGTGCAGCTCCCACAGCCAGATGACTGATTCATCCAACTGCTGTTATTGTGTGTAAAATAAGTTCTCAGGTCAAGACAGAGCTGAAGGAGGATATGCTCTGGGGCAGAGGGCCCCTTTGTAAGGGAAGGACTTTTTCGTTTTTTTTTTTGTTCCTGTAAGAGGACTTTTCTGCAGGACCAAGCAGTTTATTGTACTATTACAAATAACACTAAGATAATCAATCACAAAAGAGGTAATTGCAGTCAATGAGGCAGATGATTTCTTCTACCTCTAGTCCTGAGCAGCCACCCCTCACAGGCAAGCCCCCTCTCCCCCCTCTCTGGGCCAAGAAGTCCCTTCCTCTCTAGGACATCTCCAAAAGCCACACTATGGAAAATGCTATCCACACCCAGAGAAAGAACTATGCAGATGGAAGCAGACTGTTTGCTCTCCTTTTGTTCTTTCTTTTTCCTGGTTCCTCTCATTAGTTCTAACTCTTCTTCACATCATGACTAATGTGAAAATAGGCTTCATGTGAATGTGTTAAGTAGAGCCTAAATCAGACTGCAGCGTCTTGGGATGTGGAGAGGGGAGGGAGAGGGGGAGAAAATCTAAAACTCAAAAGCTTAGGGAAGTTGAAAACTGAAAATAAATCAACTCAATTTAAAAAATAATGTCCCCTCCTCCAACTAGGAGGACCTTGCCTCCTGATGTGAACTGACTACAGGCTTCCCAGGACTCTGGTTTGACCCCTGTCCTTCCCTCATCTGAAGACACCAGGCCTGGGCCAGCCTGCCTCTGGGGATTACAGTGGGCTGGCTCTGGATGCGGATGGGGCCCATCTTTCCTGAGGGCAAGGGCAGAGGGCGTCTCCCCCCCTCCCAGGCCTGCTGCTGGCTGTGGTCACTGGCATGTCTGGGGTGCAGCTGCAGAGGGCTCCCCAGGAACGAATCAGGTACAACAGGTAACACTGGGGCAGACATAAGTGAGTCAAGGGCAGGGGCTCCAGAGGCACTTCCCAAGGTAGGGCCCCCTCACTCCAGTGAGGCTCTTCAACACCCTCTGGATGGCTAGGGGTGAGGGGGAGAGGATTTTATCACCTGGCTGGGTGGCAGGTCAATGTGTCAGAGCCGGCTCAGGCTTGGGAGGGACCCAAGAGGCCACCAAACCAACCTCCCACATCTTACTGATGAGGAAACTGAGGCCCAGGGTCCCACAACTGAAACACCTGTGCCTGCCCAACCCCCAAATGCAGCTCTCTCCACCAGGCCCCTCTGCACTCATGTTATTCCTACCCCAAGCACACCAGCCTCCCAGAAACCACCAGCAACAGAGTTATTAACAAACCAACAACTTTTATTTGGAATAAACTGTAGAACGAGAAAAACAGCCCATTTTGAATGCTAGGACAGCTTTAACATGTTTAGTCCTCTCAACTGAAACAGAAGTGTTGCCCACCCACCCTTTGTACCGCTCCCCCCAAGATGGTAGAGATGCCCAGGTCAGAAATCTCCTGAGCAGACAGACTCCACCTGACCTGCAGCTGTGGGGTATCTGCTGAGCTCCCTCAGGGCCAGGCCCCCCCAACCCCACTTCTCCTGGAGGAGACATGACCTTGCAAGCTCACAGCAGCATCTAAAGGGGTTTAGCTGCTGCCAAGATGTAACAACTAGGGGCAGCTAGGTGGCACAGTAGATAGAGCACTCACCCTGGAGTCAGAAGGAGGACCCATTTGGCTTGATACTTAACTAGCTGTGTGACCCCGACCCATTGCCTCCTCCCAAAAAATTCAAATCAATTTCAACATAACAACAAGAGTAACACACTGATGGCATTTTCTACCCAAGGCTTCCTCGCGGCAGGACACAGACCCATTCTATCTCCCACCCTTCCCACTGCCAGGGAAAAGTGCCTAGGGTGACAAGCACGTTGAGGACAAAGGGTCAACACGCAATGTGAGTGACCCAAACCTCCCTTCCCCGGGGAAGTCTTTTCTTGCCTGGTCAGGATACAGAGGTAGCGAGGTAGTCCTTCCTTCTTAAAAAGAAAAACAACAACAACAGAAGAAATCCAAAAAGCCTGTGTGGAGAAACGCTGCTGCGTCCCATCCAAAGGCCCCCCGGGGAGATCCTGGTGAGGCCCAGCAGGGCCATGGCCTCAGTGAAGGGCAGAGGGACAGAAGGAAGGGTCCAGATGGAGGCCTGGAGGCTGGGGAAGGGCCGGGGGAGACCGGGTACCGTGTTACTCAGGGAGGTTTAGGAGGCAGGGCCAGGGCTAGCAGGTGCACCTCCCGGTGCACCTGCTCACATGACGGAGCAGGTGCAGCCCCGTCTGCGCCGCCGAGGCGGTGGCTCAGGGATATTTCTGAGCGCCTCCGCGCGGGCCCGCTGGACCTCTCTCACCAGCTGCTGGAAGGCGTGCTCCACTCCCTGCCGGGTCTGGGCTGAGGTCTCCACGAAGGGCACCTTGAAGCTTTTGGCCGCTTCCTGGCCCAGCGCCGAGGTCACCAGGCTGTTACCTAGGTCGACCTTGTTGGCCACCAGGACGAAGGGGATGCGGTCGGCGCCCCGGATCCTGCGCAGCTGGTCGCGGAAGATGTTCACGTCCACGAAGGACTTGATGTCGTCCACCGCATAGACGCAGAGGAAGCCCTCCCCCCAGCGCATGAACTGGTGGCGCCGGCTCAGCATTTCCTCGTCACCAGTGGTGTCCAGAATGTCCAGCTGGCAGGACTGGCCATCCACAATCAGCTGGGTGCGGTAGGAGTCTTCGATGGTGGGGTCATGGTCAGGCACAAAGCAATTCTTGACCAGTTGAATGGTCAGCGCGCTCTTGCCCACGCAACCGCTGCCCATCACCACCAACTTGTACGACATCTTGGTCAGCTAAGGAGATAGGGACAACAGAGCTGGAGGGAGCCCTGTGGCCACTATCGCGCATCCAGACAACTCTCCCTCGGTCTTAGCCCCAGGCGACCTCTTGTGCCTTTCTCTTCCCACCCTCCTCTGCCCCGAGCTCCCAGCCCTCCCTTCCAGGGCCAACCAGGACCAGGCCAATTCTTTCCCTGTGACACAGGACCCTTCGGACACACTCATCTTTTACTTCACGGTCTCGAAGGTAAGATCAAATTACCAAAAACAATTGCTATTAATTCCGTGTTATTATTGCGCGTTTCAGCAGTTCTAGGTTGCAGGTGCAGTTTCCCCGCGCCCCTGGGCCTCTCCCGGGGGAGCGTGGACAGGAATCCCGACCGGGGAAAAGGCTATTTGTTCCAAGCCAGTCAGGGGTTCCCGGTCACTCAGTGACCCGTACTCCCCATTCCTCCGTGACGCACCTCTCAATGGCCCCAAGAATCCGAATTCTCCTAAACCCTTCAGGAGAAGACCCAGAGTAGGCACCGCCCACCTTAGATTGGCCATGGGTCCGAGCCCCCCCCCTCCCCCGCCCCACCCCCATCCCTTCAGGGTCTCTGGATCCCCAAGGGCCCCGAACAATTTTGAGTCCCTCTTTGCTACCCTGGACTCTGGCTCTAACCTTGTTTCGACGGCGGATTGTTCCCGTAGGATTCATGATATTTTCTTAAGCTTTGGCAGACGTTCCTAAGGGGGAAAAGCCCATTAGGTTGGAGAAACAGCCCTTTCTCCTTTTTTCCCTTAGACCTTCCACATCTGCAGACCAACGCCCCTGAGCCCAGCGTCTTCCCGTTCCTGGTTGCCCTCCCCTACCCCTCCCTCGGGGCTCCCTCCACAAGTGACCCGAGAGGGCACATGGCATTGGTACTCTCACTGCCGAAGACCAGGGTCCCCCCATGCTCGGGCGGCCCGGCCCGGCCCGGCCCGGCAGCCCCTTGAAGTGAGGCTTGCAGACCACCGCCCCGCCAAATCCCTTCCCCGGGACCCGCACACCTGCCCCTGCCTTTACTTACGCTGCCCACGCTAGAAACGGAACGGAGCTGAGCTGGAAGGCTCACCTGAGGACGTCGGGAAGGCCGAGGACTCCAGAGAGATGATCAGAAACGAAGGCAAAAGCGGAGACTGAGCGGAGCCCCCACCTCGACCCTCATCCCTATATAGGACAAGCCCCGCCCCCACGCCCGAGGGCTGTCCTCGGCTCCGCCTCCTCCCCCTTGGCCTCTAACCGGTCCCCCGCCCCCCGAGCCCCCAGGCTCTCAGACCTGCCCTGCCGGGCCACGTGAAGGGCAGGGGTGGGGGTGGGGGGCTGGAGGGGGAAGGGCGGCCCGGGGCATTTACCCCTTGCGGGTGGATGGAACGTGGTGTATCAAAGGGGGTGGCGGCGGTCCAGAACGTGCAACAGTGTATCCTTCGGGCTGGCGGAACCGGGAGGGTGCAAAGCCCGGTTCGGTCGGGCCTGGTGTGGGCCCAGGCATCTGTGAGGCCTCCCACCTCGGGCACAGGGCTCAGCTGTGGGCCTTCGCGAGGCTCCCGCTAACTCCAGGCCTCGTTGGTGCAATAGCGCTGGGCAGCAGTGGGGCAGCTTGTGTGGATAGGACCTGGGCTGGGGAGAAGGGAGGGAGAAGGGCCATGTGTATTATCTGTGCTCTCTGTGTGTGTGTGTGTGTGTGTGTGTGTGTGTGTGTGCGCGCCCACGGAGGATGCCTACCGGGGTGGGGGGTGGGGGTGAGGGCTCACGGTCAAATGAACCAGAGCATCACTGCAGCCTCTTACATGGCAGCTGGCAGGGCAGTCCACACATGAAAAAGAATCTTTGGCCCTGGAGGAGGGCATCAGTCAGGCCTGCGAACGAAGGAGTAAGAGAGACAGAAGGTTCTCTGGCCCGTCGTCTGTGCTCTGTCCAGTCCCAGGTCAGCACACTTGAGGAGGGGCGGCCTCTGAGAGGTCCTACTGGCTCCCAGGATCTCAGACGCAGGCCTGTGAGCACGGGATGCTGAAGGAAGGGGGCTGCTGAGCAGGAGGAGGCTGGACCATGACAGGTGCCCTCTGGCAACAGGGATTCCAACGGCCTTCTCCCTTTCTGGTGGCTTTGCTCCCCTAATTCCACCTTCCTTCACACAATGTTTGCACCAAACCACAACAGCCCTGGGCATGTGGCCCCAGCGTGAGGCTCCAGATCTCTGAAGGGGCTATTTAAAGGGGCTGATGCTGATTTCTGACTCCACAGAGACCCCCAAACTGAAAATGAAGGCAGTATTTGGTATGGTCAAGGTCTACTCAGAGAGTACACACCCAAAGAGCTAGGCTTCCTGGTAAACTCCTGTCAGAAGCCTTGCATCTGACAGAGCGGACAATGAATGGTAGCACCGTGCCTGGCACATAGTAGGGGCTTGATACATGCTGTCTGACTCAGCACTGAGGACACTCAGCCGCTAGAGTGGCCAGACTCACTTTTGTCATTTTACAGCTATCTTGGACATCACCACTGATAAAAGGGGGTTGTGCTTCTTTAGCAAACTTAGAATATCCCAGGAATTGTTACCTGGCTTTTGATTAAATGGTGTGTATGGTGCCTGACTTGTAGGAAGGCAACTGCTTGTTGTTCTGATGATACTTTCTCAGGATGGACATTGTGCTCCTGGGACTCTGGTCAGGGCAAGGCACAGCTAAATAGCATAGCAAGGAGGCTACCCAGGGAAGCTTTCCCAGCCCTCAGCACCAGCTCCTCCCCTCCCTTTGGCCTGGAGCTCACTCCTTCCTCTCCTGCCCCTCCCATCCCACGGCCTTCAGGAAGCCGCCAGGGCCCAGCCGCCCAGCCGCCCAGCCTCCCAGCCTCCCCAGCACACGTCCGTGATCATTAGGTGTCGTTGACCGGGACTACCCAAGTAGAATGGCAGCTCCTTGAGGGCAGAGTGGCTTCATTCTTGGTACCTGTGTGCCCAGCAAGTGGGCCAAGGTCTGCCACAGATCCCATGCCTGTGGAGTGACCAAAGGCCTGAGGGCTCCCTGCAGGGAGAGGTCAGGGCTTGGGGTGTAGGAGCAGGCCCTGGCCCATCCAGTCCACTTGCCCTACTGTCCCATCCCCATGGAATGGATGGCTCCAGTTCCCTGCTCCTCTGCCTGAGGCCTGTCTGCTAGAGAAGGGACCCCGTCAGAGGCCAGGCTGGCTGGTATATGGAGTAGAAGTAGCTGGCCTCCCTGGAAGGAAGCAGTGCCCAGACAGTGCCCCCGGCTGCCAGGTATCCCACCCAGACAAAGCTCAGTGGTCACAGAGAAGGACCACACCCAAACAGGACCAGGGACAAAGGAGTTCTGCCAAGAAGAGAGTTCTGCCCATTCTGTTGAGAAGGGAATTTATAGTTTTCATATTAATTGATATGATATGTGTAATGAGTACAATAATAATTTAGTTTCCTCAAGAGCTGACCCTGGCTTAGGAGTCAGAGGTCACAGTGCAGCCTAAACTGATAAAACAAAACTCTGACAAAGCTCACAATCACGGAACCTTAAACGAAGTGAATCACAGATGGTCGAACCTATTGCCGTCATAGAACTCTGGTTTTGTACTTCAGGGGAGGTGGTCACGACCCCTAACTACTAGACTCCAGAATCATTGTGTGGTCGGACTTAGGGATTTCTCGTGGGATACTACTAACCCTTGTAATCCACCTTTCCCCCCCTTCCACAATTGTGATTTAACGAGTGCTTTTCCTTCAGCTAAGAGGACATTCCTCACTCTGAAACTGATTAATTAAACTATACTTGATTACTGGCACTCCTGTCTCTAGGCCTGCTTTGTGTGGCTCTCAGCATTCTCAGCTTAGAGACTGGCTCAGTAAAAATCCTGTTAACAGTATGCAAGCCAAGCCTGGAGGGAGAATTGGTGCAAGTATTTCTGTTCATAGATGATTGTGCACTCAATACAGCCTCTGAAGCTGAGACTCAATAAAGGATGGATCACAATTCTCTGCTACTTGTCCTAACTTTAGCCTAACAATTAACACACACACACACACACACACACACACACACACACACACACACACAAAGACTCACAAAAAAACCCAAAAACCAAACAGGTTCTCCACCAGCCCGTACCATACTAGCTATACACGGAACCAGCGGTTACAGCAAATGGAGAAATAATGCATGCTCTGGATAGGTTCACTTAGATTGGCAGTGTACTTTCTAGGGACGTCCATGAAGACGATGAGGTGGACACAGGCATTGCCAGAGCTAGCTCAGTGTTTGGGAGGCTCCCAAAGAAAGGGTGGAATAGAAGAGGTATTAAATTGACTACCAAACTGAAAGTCCACAGAGCCATTGTGCTGACCTTGTTGTATGCCTGTGAAACCTGCACAGGCTACCAGCCCCAGGCCAGGACACAGAATCGCTTCCATCTGAATGGTCTTACGAAGATTCTGATGATCACCTGGCAGGAGAAGGTAGCAGACATTGAGGTCCTTTCTGGAGTCACACTGCCAAGCATTCAGGCTCCATGGCCAGGACAGCGCCTCTACCATGGGCTGGCCACTTTGTTCCAATGCCAGATGTACATTTGCCTAAAAAGCTTTTTGACAGAACTCCAGCAAGGCAGACACTGCCAAGGCGGTCAGAAGAAGGGACACTCTCGAGGTGTCTCTGAAGGACTTTGGAATCAATTAGGTGACCTAGGACACTCCTTCTTTGCCTATTGTTCCAAATTATTTAATATTGTAATTAGTTAATGTTTAAAAAAATAGAGTGCCTTCAGAATAAAGAAAAGCACTTGTGTTAACATCATGGCAACTGGGGAACAATGTTTGGTGAATGGAAGACCCCGGAGGTGTTGGACAAGCAGCAGCTAGATGGTCGCTCTGCGTCAGCACATATCACTGGGATGTGAATTTCGATTAATATATGATATTATATATTATATAATTATATATATTATATATAATATAATATATAATATAATATATACTATATATTATTGATATTAATATATATTGTTAATATTAATATATAATAAAATATATAA